TTAAAGCACTGGAGTGCTAACCAGAAGGTCTACAGTCTGAATATAGCAGCTCTTTTCTATGGGAGAAAGATGTGGCAGTCTGCTTCCATAAAGGTTTATTTACAGCCTTGGAAACCTAAAAGGGCCAGTTACTATCTTAGAGGGGCGCTGTGAATTGGAATTGACTCGATAACAATGGTATGGTTTTGATTGGAATGAAATAAGAGAATAGGAAAAACCAACAAATGTATGTCAGTAGTAACCAATTGAGGAAGGGAATATGATGTCATTCCATAAATTTCCAAAGGGGCGGTCAAGATAGGAAATCATTGATTTTGCTCTGCTCATCTCCAAAAAGCAGACCTGAGGAAAGAAGGGTATGTTAATAGAAACTTAAGAATCCTCATTAATACCACATTTAGAAATAAATAGATGGGATGACTAGGCAGGTAGATAGAAATTCATACAAATCCTAAGTGAAAGCCCCTGTTTTTTAACCCCAGGGTTACAACAAAATTATGAGAAACTGCCAGGGTCTGCCATTTCCTGAAGTTATATGCTAAGTTGGGGTCAGAGCTTTACAAAACTAGATGGTTTCCTTGACTAGGTTTAGTGAGACTTGGAATAGGGGATATTTAACCAAATTTTATGAAGGAAAGCAAAACCCTAGTCCTCCCAACAGGCAAAACATAGCACCTCCTGCGCTCACCTCTTCCACAAATATTCAGGGTCTGTAAAAATGGACCAGTCAATCCCTGCCCTCTAACATAGCTCAGAGAATAAAGCAGGTTATAGGAAAACAAGCACCCTGCTAGCATTTGAGTAATGGGTTTGCATTTACCATTAACAAGTTGAAAAGGTGTCAAAAAAATCTATGTAAACATTCTATAGCAATAAAAGGAAGGAATACAAATGACAAAGAACCTAGTTGGAAGAAAAGATAACTCAAGAATCACAGCTTCATGTATAGGACTTGATAAGAACATAAAGTGTGTCTGCCGTGTCTGCTTCCTACCTCTGCCTAGAACACACACTCCTCACCACTGTGTCTAGGTTCATTGACCAACTCACGTCAACATTAGTGTTAGGGAAAATGACCAAATTAGATCATAAAATGGAGGATGACTACATCTATGCATCATTACCTAACTGCTAAACCACTGAGAATCATGACTCAGCTAACTTGACTCCTTTACCATCACGACCAACCTCATTCTCACCTGGCATCTCGGCATGCGTTACTGCCAGACAGGTCGTTAATGTGCAAGATGACTGGGTAGTAGATTTTTAAGTTACTGATGTAGATGTAGAACATTGGCTGATGAGATTGTTGGCAGGAGGAGCAGGTGTACGGCTCTGCTTGAGCTTGGAGTTGGGACTCGACCCTGCATTTGTGTTTACTTTTGGCAGATCACTGTCCCAGTCTTGGATTTGTTTGCCAGCTTTGTTTTTTTAATTCTTTTATTGCGGGCTTGGACAATTCTCACAATCCACACATACATTCATTGTGTCCAGCACATTTGCACATTTGTTGCCATCATCATTCTCAAAACATTTGCTTTCTACTTGCGCCCTTGGGATCAGCTCCTCATCTTTTGCTTGTTTGCCAGTTTTGAGTGAACATTTGGATTCTGTTTCCATTCCTCCTCTTTTCATAACCTTCCATCATGAGGTAAATGCTGCCCTTTCGATTTTAAGTGGTTACTTATTCTAACACACGTGTGATGTCTGATGCATTTTTATTAAATCGGGCTAATTAGGGCATACTTCATAGATGATAAAAGTCATCCTTTTTGGCGTAACCACTACACCACAGTCAAGACATAGAACAGTCCTGGCACCCAGACATTGGAACCTCTCCCAGTCTCTATCAGCCACTGATATGTTTTCCGTCCCTTTGTTTTGCTTTTCTAGAATTGCATACAAATAGATGCATGAGGTAGAGTACATTATCTTTTCTAATGCTGACATTCCAAAATAATATGCCATTTGATTAAATGGCTCTAGAGTTGGTTGTAGGTGTGAGGTCAAACATTTTAATTTTTACACATCTGAGTTGATAATGCAGAACAGAATTAGTGTACAGAAAACCAAACTAATTTCTTAAAGTATATTAGCAGGGTGGGGCAAATGTTGATTTTTCTGGGTTTTTCCCCTGGTAATTAATTAGGTTACTCTTCTGTTTTGTAGGTCTTGTATGCGCAATCCAATGGAAAACATTGCCAAACTAGTTAGAGGGATAGGAGAGTCTTTCTGCCAGCACTATACTCAGTCAAGAGATGAACAGCCAGGCTCTCACATAGGTAAGAAGAAAAATAAAAGTTAGCAAAAATCATTGAATTTAGGTAGATTGTGACCTCCAAAAAAATAGAAGTGACATTCAGGTTTTTTCCTTACTTGTTATTGAATCAAACTTTATCAACAAATTTGATAACAGTTTATTTTCTTTAGGCCTAAACTAAATTTCATCAGTACATGTTTTCCCTTTATTTCCTCTATAGACTTTGCTGTCAACAGACTAAAACTGGCAGAGATTTTGTATTATAAAATATTAGAGACTGTAATGATTCAGGAAACACGAAGACTTCATGGAATGGACATGTCAGTAAGTAGATTAACTCACCCAGACACCGGCAAAGGCCCACAGTCCTAAACTTAAAAGCAGTGTCATGTGGGGTTATGTGGTACTTTATGGGGCTGTGTGTGTGGTGCGGTGAATACCCTCTGTGGCGGATGTAGCAATGATGGCTTTAGTTGACTTAGGCAGATCCAGAGCTAACCATTTCTAAGCAGAAATGTGAAATATATGAAAGTTACCTTTGGTTCACCATTACTGACCTTCAGTCCCATTTATAGTCTTCTATTTCCCAACTATTCAGCCACCTGATAGGTAAGATATTTACTTATACCTCCTAGGAATTTTGGGTAAAAAACAACGGTAGCTTAAAAAAAAAAAAAGCTTTGTTTCCGTTGAACAACTGATGAAGTTAGTAACTATACTTTCCAATAGCTACATAAAATAATTTTCTACAAAGTTAAATGCATCTCATGTTTTGTTAGCACACCTTTCTTCCCCTGCACTCCTCCCTCCCAGCATTCTTTGAAGCTTCAGACTTTTTGTTCAAGTAAGAACAGGCTAATGCTACTGCTTAACTGTTATGATGGAATTTCTCTTTGTTTTCAACCTGGATGTTTTCTTCGTCCCTTGGTTCCCCTCTTCTTGGTGCCCATGTCTTACTCTCTCAAGGTCTAACCTAGGGGTCCTCAAACTTTTTAAACAGGGGGCCAGTTCAGTGCCCCTCAGACCCGTTGGAGGGCTGGACTGTAGTTTAAAAAAAAAACTGAACAAATTCCTGTGCACACTGCACATAGCTTATTTTGAAGTGAAAAAACAAAGGGGGCAAAAACACCCGGTGGGCCGGATAAATGTCCTCAGCGGGCCGCATGTGGCTGTTTTATATAGTAAAATGTCCAAAGGAAGTTGACATCATACCAATATGTGTGTGTGCCTCTGTACCACTGTATCACAAGTACAAATGAGTGTTGCCAACACCAAGGTTAAGCTACAGGACTGTTCTCTCTTTGAAGCTCTCTCCGAGATACTCTAAACCTTGAACTGAAACATCCTCTTAGGTCACCTTTCAGCTAGATACAGATGGGCTCGTAAAACAATAACTAGGGAGGACTACGTACCTTGCAAAAATCTCTACCTGAAACCGAACAGTCGATGACTTTACAGCGAAGGTGAAGGGTAAGGGAACAGGGAAACCAGACTCCTGGAAGCAGAACACCCAGAAGGAAATGAATGAGAGCGTCCACACGTTGTGAAAAATGTAACCAGTATCTGAAATGTTGTGTAGCAATTATTAAAAGGGAGCCTAATTTGCTATGTAAACGTTCACCAAAAACATAAAAATTATCCACGGGGAAAAAAGATTCATGATTGTTCTGTCAACATGAAGTTCTGTCTACTGTTCCTTTGTAACCATACTCGCTCCCCACAGCCACTCTTTATTTCTACCTCTGATTGAATAGCACAATTATTTTTTTACTATAGGCAATGCATATTTTCAATAGATGAGACTATAAGTACTTTTTAAAGAAAAAAACTTTATAGTGAATTAGGTGAAGATTTACAGAAAGGATTTTGAGATTTACAATCAACAACTGTTTACACATTTTGTTTTAACTCATCTATTTCAGTTCTCTCAATGTTCCATCACTGTCACTTGCTCCCTATTTCCTATTTCCATTCCACCATCTTTGTCTATAGAAGTTTTAATAATTTACTGTATGCTGTACTGTATTCATGGATATATTTGCAGCAAAGTACACACATGCATCCTCTGTCAAACACACACACACACACGCACACATTTATTTATTTATGCTTGGGTATATGCTCATTCTTGCTCCTATCGATTATGACAGATACACTTAGGTTAAATCTTTACAGGTGTACACAGCCTCATCTTCTGCAGATGGGTGGGTGGCTTTCAACTACTGACCTTGTGTTTAGGTCGGTGTGTAGTCCACTGCTCCATCAGGGCTCTTGTACTTCCAAGCAGGGTCATGTTTATAGGTAAAGGGCTTAGGATTTTAGCATGAAGTTTTGGAAGCACAATTTAGTCTGTAACACCTTCCTTTCCAGCATTTTGATTAATAAATTCTTAAATTGACAAACAATTGACTATCATAAAAAAAAGACTTCATAATGCTTTTCTCTTAATGAGAATATTGACTTTTTTGTTCAAATTTTAAAGCAATTTATTATAGACATTTCATTTAACCTTAAGATCTACCACTGAGCTAGATGTGGTACTATTTAAAACAAAAAACTGTTTACTTTCTTGAAAACTTTCATTTCGCTCTCTAGTAAATTAGTATAATATAATTTACATAAGTTATTCAATACTAGTTTGGTAGTCTTGCTCATAGAATGGCAAAGAGTGAAATTGCCAGGAAAGTAGTAAACTGGTCTTTTTCTCCCTAAGGTTCTTTTAGAACAGGACGTATTTCATCGGTCCCTGATGGGCTGCTGCCTGGAAATGGTGCTCTTTGCCTATAGCTCACCTCGGACTTTTCCTTGGATTATTGAAGTTCTTAATTTGCAACCATTTTATTTTTACAAGGTGAGATGAAAACAAGGTTCTGTTAGGATGTAGCTCACGTAAAGATTGTATTAATTGTAGTGTTAAAAGAAACAACTTGTAGTCATGTGTGGGAAGTATTTCCACAAGTGGTGTGAAAATATATGTGTAATCTTTTTCGGGTGGATTTAAGGACAAAAAATAAAGGTTGAAAGTGGCAATTTAAGATTTTCTCTGGCTAGACCAGAGCATGTGCACATGTACAGATAAGAGCTCCTGACACGGGGACTCCCACAGAGAAACCCCTCAGGAACAATAATGGGAGTAGCGATACCATGATGTTAGGGGAAGGTGGGGGGAGAAAGGGAGAACCTATCACAATGATCTATGTATAAGCACCCCCCACCTCAAGGGGAACCAACAACAGAAACATGGGTGAAGGGAGATAGCAGTTGGTGTAAGATATGAAAACAATAATTTATAAATTATAAAGGGTTCAGGAGGGAAGGAGGGTGGGAAAGGGAGGGGAAAAAATGAGCTGATACCCAGGGCTCAAGTAGGAAGAAAATGTTTTGAAAAGAATGATGGCCAAAAAAAAAAAAAAAGAATGATGGCAACATATGTAAAAATGTGCTTGACACAATGGATGTATGGATTGTTAATAGCTGTAACAGACCCCAATAAAATGATTAAGCTGTTCTTTTGTTGAATTTCAAATGCCACTTAGAATATTAATATTTACCTTGAAGTTTTCCATATGTTTAAATGAAAATCTTAGCTATTGTTGATGAACAAAAATGTTCTCATTGGAAATAAAGAAAAGGTTTTAATTGGATTTTGTTGACAGTCTAATTAATGATGTTTTAATAACTCTGTGTGTTCCTTCTTCACACTGAAGCTCATCCAGCTGTGGATCAAATTTGCTTGTTTTCCCTTATTTTCTGCTAGAACTGTGTGTTATTAACATTTAAGAATTGAAACAGGATAGTTACTAAGCTATATATCATCACAGTGAGCATTTACTATTACCTGGGTGCCACAAAGTGTTATGATATTGACTACTAACCAAAAGGTTGGTGGTTCAAACCCCAGTGGCACCCAGAAAATAGGTGTGATAGTCTGCTTCCAAAAAGTCAACAGTTCTGAACACCCCCTGGAGTGTGGTTCTGCTCTGCACACATGGTGTCCCCATGAGCTGGAGTCTTCTGGAAAACAACTGAGAATGTACAGATTTAAGACTAAAACTACCCTCATGCTTACCGACACAATTTAGGTCTAATATTTAGTAATCTTTGTTACTTTAAAGCTATTTGTAATTGGAAAATTAGTTTGAAGAGTTAGATTTTCATACTTAAATGTATGTGTGATTTAAACATAGAAAAGGCTTATCCATTTGAATTCATTACTGTAATAAAACATTTTTGCATTCTTAGGGAAATTTTACTATTTGTATTTAATTTAAAGTTGATATATATGTTTAGATTTTGTATTAGGAAAAGTTGATAACTTTATTCAAGGGTTAGTCACTAAGAAAAGTTTAGTGTTGGCCAGAACTTGGTAGTTTTAGCTCTAAAATTCTTGTTTCAGTCACGATGCAAAATGCTTCATGAATGCCTTTTGAATGCTTACTTGGAGAAAGAAGAACCAGAAAGTATAGATATATGTAAATATTAAAATGAGATATAATTCTCGATGTAACAAAGACGAGAAATACAACTTTCCTCTAGTTC